AAAAAACTCCTCTTGTAAGTTTCTAAATTGATTTCTTGACTGTGACTTTAAGACACTTCCCAAAGAACCACCTGGGAGAATGATAGTGAATTGGTATCTTTGCAGGATGAACAAAAGAATTGGCATTTTGTTTGTTTTATTTTAATTTTTTTGAGACAGAGTCTTGCTCTGTCACCGAGGCTGGAGTGCAGTGGCACAATCTCAGCTCACTGCAACCTCCGCCTCCTGGATTCAAGTGATGCTCCTGCCTCAACCTCCTGAGTAGCTGGAATTAGAGGTATGTGCCACCATGTCTGGCAAGGTTTCACCATTTTGGCCAGGCTGGTCTTGAACTCCTCACCTCAAGTGATCCACCCGCCTTGGCTGGGATTACAGGTGTGAGCCACCATGCCCAGCTGGAATTGGCATTTTAAACAAATTCTTAAGAACTCCCAACCCCTTTCCCTTAGCAGGCAGCCTTGCCTCTAACTTGTAGACCGTCTAGTGCAAGTTGGCAAGGGTTAGTGTACTGTCTGGGAGGTGGTGGGCCATTGTGGAAATTGATGGAATGAATGAGAGTATCAATGAATAAATTCAAGTTTTCTTCTCTCCAACGTAAAGTTCTTTTGTGTCTTCATTTGTGTTTCTACTCTGCATTCCATGTCCTGAGTAAGGCCCCGGGGGCCTTGTCCAAGATCCTCCTCTCAGTTACCCTCTTTCTTCTGCATCTTCAGTGTCTTTCTGTCCACTCATCTCTCCACATGGCCAGGTATCCCCAGCCTCCTTTCAAGATACCCTTCTGTCCTCTCTTTCTCTGTGTCTCCAATCAACATTGGTTACCTTCCCCCTTAGATCAGTGGCATCACCATTCTCTCAACTTCCTCCATGCCTCACCTCTCTCTCCCTCTTTGCCACATCAGTCTGTGGCTGGGTCCTCTAATTTTACCCCTGCTCTTTGTATTGTGTCCAGTTTCTTCTTTCCCTCCCCAGGTTCCTCCCTACACCAGGCCTTCCGTTGCTCACTTGAAGTCTTAGCTCTTTTCTTTTTTTTTTCTAAGACGGGGTTTCACCATGTTGGTCAGGCTGGTCTTGAACTCCCCACCCCAGGTGATCCACCCGCCTTGGCCTCCAAAGTGCTTGGATTATAGGCGTGAGCCACCTTGCCCGGCCGTCCTAGCTGTTTTCATAGCATTACCTTGTTCAAGATGCTTCTATGACTCCCCACTCCCAGCAGAATGAGGTCTCCAACCTTTTGTTGCCACAACTTGGCTCCTGTTGATCTTTCAACACGTGTCTTCCACCACTGCCCTGAACTTTCAGTTTTCCAACAGTCCGAGATTCCTTCCCTCCTGGACCTGAACACTTGCTGCACCTCTCGCCTCCTCACCTGTAGCCTTGCTGTTTGCATCCCTGCTCCCTTCCACATCAACCGGTTCAACTCCTTTCAACTGCGTGGCCGCTGTTCCAGGAAGCTTTCCATCGTCCCCAGGCATAAAGGCTACCCCAGGACCCTCCCTAGCTCACCCCTGGTCTTTCCTGTGATCTGTACCACAGTCTGCTTTGCTTTGTGATTGTTCAGGTATGCGTCAGCTTCTGAGATTTTCACCTCCTTGAAGATGGTAACAATATCAATAACAGCAGGTCCAATGACACCTACTATGAGTACACGTTTCTTTGCATACAGTAACTTTGAAACTTGTAACTGTACTCCAACTTAGTTGTAATCTCCAGGAAGGTAGGCCTTAGGAAGGTAAAGGCCAAAAAGCTGACAAGTGGCAGAGATGAGACTGACTCCAAAACCCACTCTCTTTCAACTCCACAACATGGCTCCCAAGGCAAAGAAGACAAAATCCACATTTATTGAGCACCTACTGTGTGCCACTGCTGGCAGGGATCCAAAACTGGGCAAGATCATCCCAGGAAACAATATATGTATATGACTAGAACAGCATCTGGCACACAGTAGGTGCTCAATAAATGCTAATTGAGAAAGAGATGAACTCAGAGTCCACTCCATGCCAGTGCCTGCTTGCTGGGTAGAGGCTGAGACCTCCCAGAGAACTGTGGAAGGAACCCTGGGGCCTGAAATTTCATTCTGGCTCAGTCAGATGCAGCTCCGATGATCTTGAACAAGTCTCCCAGCCTCTCCAAACCTCATTGCCTCACGGTGAAATGAAGAAGCCAGATGACTTTTTTTCTAAGGTCCTTCCATCTCTAATAGGTGAGGTGATGTAGGGGTCAGGGAGTTGTAAACAGGCAAGGCAAATACAAGCAGAAGTCATTATTTTAATACCTGAGATCCTTTCAGCAGCAAAGGCATTTCTCTGGTTTTTAGGAAGGTAGGATAATTTCCTTTCGGAGGCCAAAGTTCCCAGCTTGCCTGGGCCATCAGGGACACAGGGGCAGAGGACAAATGACCACTGCTTTCTGCTGCATGTGTTGGGGGTGCGCTGCTCTGAGAGCCCTCCTGTCTCATGGGGCACTGACTTCCGTGGGATCTGGCCATGCTTGGCAGAGAGTTAATTAATGTCTGCAGGGCGAGTTAGCAGAAATAACAATTGCTTTGATTAAGGGAGGGAGATGACTGTGAGCTTTGTTTTAAGTAAAATGGACAAAGGCAGGAGAAGAAATCGTCCACTTCACCTTAAGTGCTGGGGCCCACTGGCCTGGCCTTCTTTGACCCTGGCTCTGGCCCATTCGGCTTACCCCAGAAAATAAGGACCCCTTCCAGTTATGCCTTAAAACCACCCTTATTTTTGTTGTTATCCTAGATACAAGGATCAACACTGCTGTGGACTTGGCGAATATGAATTTGGAGAGGGGCCCAAGATGACTAGGAAGCAGTGGCTGAGGGCACAGCTGATGAAGCCGGGTGCAGAGTCAGGGAAGGACACACAGCACAACACGGATAGTTAGTGCAGCTTACCCTCCTGAGGGCTGCTGTGTGCAGACTCTGCCCTCAGCTCTTCCCTGCATTTTCTCATTTGATCTGCACACATCCAAGGAGGAAACATGAACTCTCTGGTTCGGGTCACTCCGCTTGTAAGTAATGGAGCCACGATTCTAAGGCAGGTCAGTTTGTTGTGGGTAACAAAATGATTACCCATTACAATATTACCCAAATGATTACCCAAGACAACCTCCTCCAGGGCCAGTAGAACACAAGGAGGATGGAAAATAATGAGAACAAAACAACAAAGAGGAGCCAAGAGCATTGAGCTTAAGAGGGGAAAGGACTGGGCCCCAGGGGTGCTCACACTTGCCAGGTTGGCTGCTGGAAGCTTCTAAGGCTAACATTTGTCAAGCTCCCACTGTGTGAGAAGCATGGTGCTGAGAAGCATTGCAGGTGTCCGCTCATTTAATCCTCATGGTAACTGCATGTGGTAGGTGTGCATGATGTTTGTCTGGGTCAGGTTGCCTGGGCTAAGGGAAGCCGAGATAGCGGGTAAACATGATTTCTGGGTGTGTCTGTGAGGGTGTTTCTGAAAGAGATTAGCATTCAAATCAGTAGACGGAGTAAAGAAGATCACTTTTCGCCCAAGTGGATGAGTATCGTCGAATCCCTTGAGAGCCTGAACAGAACAGAAGGCAGAAGAAGGGGGAGTTCTCTTGCTCTCTGTTTGAGCTGCAACATCCGTCTTCTCCTGCCCTTGGACACTGGTGCTCCTGGTTCTCAGGCCTTCAGACTCAGACTAAATTACACCACCGCTTTTCATGATTCTCCACTTTGCACACAGCATATCATGCATCTTCTCAGCCTCTGCAACCATGTGAGCCGATTCCCATAATAAATCTCCTCTTATGTTTCTCTCTGTATATGTAGATATCCTATGGGTTCTGTTTCTCTGGAGAACCAAACGAATACAGTGTTATTTTGCACAGAAGGAGATTAAAGCTTGGAGAGGATAAACGCTTTGTACAAAGTCATGCCACCAGTGAGTGCTGCTAGAATTTGAATCCAGGTCTGTCCTACTGTGAAGTACATGCTGCTTCCACCATCCAGCACTGGCTCTCTCTTTGCAGAACATCACAAAATGCTGCTAAGTCAAGCGTTGGCATAAAGCACATTCCTCATGCCCAAAGGGAGGAGGAAGGGAAAAGGGTGGGAGTGGAAACAGGAAGAGAGAATACTTGTTGAGTACTTCAAAGCATCTGCCACTTGGCTAGGTACTACACATGTGTTTAATCTCATTTAATTCTCACGACTCCCGGTGGGAGGGGCATAATTGCCCACATTTTGCAGATGAGTGTATTGAGGCTCAGAAATGGCAATTGATTTGTCTAAGGTCACAGAGCTAGTGAACGGTGGACCAAGGATTCCTGTCCAGATGGGCCCAACTTCAAAGCCCAGGCTAATTAAAAATATAATTTTGTGCTAAATCCAATAGCAGCTCATACTAGATTCTATTAGAGGCAAGCCATAGCAGAGGCCAATAGTTAAAAGTAAGTTTATAGTGGAAAAATTTACAATTAAGGCAATCATCAATTAACTTATTTTTCTGGGAACAGAGAAAGGTTTGCTGTTATTGAATTTTTGCTGAGGCAGAATCAGTAGCCTTGTTTCCAAACCATGGAGTGCGTTCAATAAAGCAAGAGTTAGAGAAAGCAGCTCAGGGAAGCTGACCCAGGCTGCATGCCCAGAAAGGGGACTGTTCGAGAACCTTCTGGGCATGAAGAGCAGGCGGGAAGCACAGCCAGGTTAGGGGCTGCCTGGGAGAGTAGTTTTGGCTTCAATCTAGGCCATGCATAGTATCTGCCAGAAAAGATCATATGCTCTCAGAAAGTGGAAACTGGGAGCAAACTAATATCATTTCTCTTCCTTGCTCAATAACCTTCAATGGCTCCCCATTGTATCCTGAATAAACCCCATAAGCCTTACCATGACATTCAGAGCTCACACAACCTGGTCCCAATTTACTTTTCTAATCCTATCTCCCACTCATCTCCCCACATAAACTTCATGCTCAAGCTAAGCTGGTCCACTTTTTATTCCATGAACCTGATTCTAGGTCTTGGGCTGTATCTTTTCTCTTTCCTCCTTTTCCCCTCCAAATCTACCTACTAGATTCCTGCTCATTCTTCAAGTTCCATTCCAAGGTGCCCTCCTGTGTGAAGTCTTTTCTGATTGCCCCTCTAGGAGCAAACTCTCCCTCAGGTCATTACCCCGTACATGTGGCACTTATCACATGATGCCTTGAATTGGGATCATTTGTGAAGATGTCTCATTTTTCCTACTAGGCTCGCTCCTTGTGGGCAGACCCTAAATCTCACACCTGCAGGTGTAGAAATTAAGCAATAACTAATGAACTAAAAGGTTAATGTCTTATCTATGACGTCCTTGTATGTAAATAATGGTCAATTTTTAAATTCAGCAATTAAAAAAGTACCTTGAACTTGCTTAAAATTTAGAGACTTGAAACATTTTGAGAATTAGGCTGCTTGGAGTTCCTAAATGATATTCACTCACTTATTCATTTATTCATTCAAGATCTTTGATGTGGATTGATATATTTTTTTCTGAAGCTCTTGAGAGCCTGAGGATACAAGTCCTCCACGAGATTGGGTCTATCAGGAACTACAAATGCCACGGGTCCTCATTCAACCTATGGCTGCAGAAAGTGGCCTTCGGAGCAAGATTCATGGCTTGCCAGGTATCCATCTCCTCCTGAGATTGGGTCAAGCCACAGGAGAGAAATTGAAGAGTGCCGCTATTAAAAATTCTTGGTAACAAGCCAGGTAATTTCTCCCACGTTCGGCTCCCACAGTGCACTTTGTTCATGCCTGGAAGAAACAGAAACTCCCAACCACAGAAAACCTCTTGCCAGTTTGCCCAGCAGCGCTGACACCTACCCTGTTTCCAGTAGACTTGTATGTTTGCAAAATGAAGTCGGCATTGCCGCAACTTGGATCAGTCACAGCCAGTTAGAAAGACAAGCATACCAGCTCTGACCAAAAGCCAAATGCTGCTCAGCTTCATCATTCTCTGACAAATCTGAACTTAGCTGGATTTTAAAAAAATTATCATTAAAGAATCACCATTAAAGAATGATTCATTAGCCCTCTCCTTTTGTGAAAGTTGGAGAACAATCTCAGTTTGAGTAGCCAGCAAGAAAACATTGGCCCTAAGTGCTACATCTCTAGGCAGCATACACAGCAGTTAGGAATGTGGGGCTTTGGGGTTCATTTGGATCAGCCCACTATTAGCCGTGGGTTTTGTGGGGGTCTTTTGGCATGCTGGGGGTGGGGGGTTGAGGTTCAAGATCCTTGATCTTGCTGTGCCTTTGTTTTCTCATCTGTAAAGCAGGATGAATAATAGTACTGTGTTCTACTTCATAATTGGCCTGAGAATTAGGTGAAGTAAACAGCGTTAGACAAGGAGGAAGCACTCAATGAGAACTGTTATCAGACTTACAGATGCCAATAAAAATGTAACAGGCTCAAAACATCTGCTATCACTGCCTTACACCCCCAACATTAGGCATCTCTGAAGAAACAGAATCAGTAGGATATATAGAGAAAGAGATTTATTGTAAGGGATTGTGGAGGCCAAGAAGTCCCATGGTCTGCCATCTGCAAGCTGGAGAACCAGAAAAACCAGTGGAGTAGTTCTGATACGAACCTGAAGGCCAGAGGACCAAGGGAATTTATGGTATTTAAGGCCCTGACTGAGTCCAAAAGCCAGAGAACCAGGAGCACTCATATTCCAGGGCAGGAAAAGATGAACGTCCCAGCTAAAGCAGAAAGCAAACTCACCCTTCCTCCACCTTTTGTTCTGACCAGGCCCGCGTTGGTGAGGGCGATCTTTACTCAGTCTCCTGAGTTAAAGGCTAATCTCTTCTGGAAACACCTAGAAGGAATGTTTTACCAGCTCTCTAGGCATCCCTTAGCCCAGTTAAGTTGACATAAAATTAACCATCACACCCCCAAAGAGATAAGCCTGTTTTCTTTGCTTCTTTTCCCTGAATGACTGCCCAACTAAAGCTCAAACCTGGACATGAAGTTTTTGGCACTTTTGGTTGAATGTGATCCTAATTCAAACTTCCTTTATTATTCAGGTGCATGCAACGCTTATTTACTGCTTTCTTTCAGCAAGGTGCTGCGCTTGTCTGTGGGAAGTGTTAAGAATAACAAGATAGGGGAGACAAGTCTTTGCCCCCAGGGAGCTTGTAGTGTGGTCAGACTGAAATAAAGTTGCCTACTTTCTGTAAAACACCACCAAGTGTGAGCACTATTGAAAATTAGGTGCAAACCCAAAGGCTGGATTATGGGCACAAAACAGTATCACTGTCCTGCCTTATTTAATTATGCTTTCCCTTCTTTGCTAACATCAAATTAAAAAATCCTTGCCATGGTAGTCTAGCAACATTGTTATATTGTCATTCTGCAAATTATGTGGAAAGAATGAATTGTTTTGAGGGTAAGCTTCAAGTAAATTTATGAGCTTATGAACAAATTGCCCATTATTGCTTTCAAAAAAATTTAAATACTGAGTCAATTGACTAATTTCCAACCTTCAAAAAAGAATACCATCTCATGCATTTCTGGAGCTTAAGGCTTATAAATCTTGCTGCCATGAGCATTCCCTCTGAGTGCTTATAACCACGGTGCTGTGAAGGTGGGAAGGTAGGAATATGCTCAGCCTCTGAGTAGAGATGTGGACAGAAGCTTGCAAGGTTCAGTGTCTTGCCTACGTTCATGCACTAGGGGAACTGGTAAGGTTTTGGAACCCAGGACCCTTGACTTCAAATCCACTGTTCTTTTTGCTACATTACTCTGTAGTCGTCAACTAGTTATGCACCATTTAACTAACATTTAATTAACCGAAAGTGGAAACAGATAACCTTGAAATTAATTCAAGTTAATGTTAAATGTTGCTAACTTTTTATTAGTGGAATGTTACCATTAACTTTTCCAATGGCTGCTTTTTTGTACCCCTTCACAGCAGTGAACAAAATTGAGTAAGTGCTCAATAAGTATTTATCGAATAAACAAATAGCTTAACGGGCCCGGTTTGGCTGCAGGGTGAGGTTAGAAGGTTGAATCACTGAAGACAAAGTTGAGCATTTAATTCACTCTTTCATTTGTCAAGTATTTATTAAGTCTCTATGTACTGCACTCCATAGAGTAGACTGATGCATACATGTGGCCCTTGGCAAGTATTTTTAACCTCTCTGAGCCTCGGTTGACTTGGCTTTTAAAATAAGGAATAACAATAGCACCTAACTCACAGGTTTGCTATCAGGATCAAAAAAGATGATGTATTTAAAGAACTTGGTATAAAGCACATAGTGGTGGGTGCTCTGTAAATGGTAAAGATACTAATTATCAATCTCCGTGCTATATACTTACGTGTGGTTCATACCCCAAGGTTCCAGAGCCTATAGTGAAGTAGTTTCTTGTACTCTGAATGGCAGGGAGGGAAAGCCCCAGTTGATTTGTTTTAGAGAAGAGGAGGGGAGCAGAGACAAACTGTGGGAGCAGAGCTGAGTTTCCAAGGTCCCAACTGGAAAGGGTCCTCCTTTTTAATTTTAGGTGACAATGGGGGAAGGGACTCAAATACCATGGTTGTTGGTTGCATGCTACTCTCCACGTGGGCCCCCAACTCCACATCTTTGGTGAGTTCTGGGTGCTTGGGCCCTAGATCAGATGTATGCGCAGGGATGCAGGCACAGGAGCTGTGATACGGGGACCATGCTAGGTTGCTGTCACCGAAAGACAGCTGACAAGGAACCGCACAGAGAGATTCCATCTTCATCTGCAAGTCCTCCGTCTCCTTTTACAATGGAAATAAAGAGATCTGCCTGGGGCCCTGGAAGGTTCCTGCCTCTGCCCTCTTCCCTCTTTGATAGGACATTCCTGAAGCTGAGCACTGGGAGGGCAGAAGAAAGGCCAGAGTGCTTGCCTCATCTCCTGCCAGACAGAGGAGGGGTGAGTGTAGGCACAGAGAGGCTTTCCAGTGTGTCAGCCTAGCACAGGCTGCAGCCTGGGTGGGAAGCACTGGATGGAGTCACTCTAATGAATGAAGCTGCTGGTGAGCTCATTTATAGCATGACAATCGTGCTGGCCCCACAGCAGCAGCTGCCACCCACCGCTACCAGGGGAAGCCACTTAGGAAGACAGCAAAGCAACCTGCCACCAATCTATCAGCATTGGCTTCCATTAGGGATAGGATGGCCACGGAGGCAGGAGAAGGCCAGAGTGGCAGGGGCAAAAGAGACACAGCTCTGGTGACACTTTCATTTTAATAGGTTTCCAAATCCCAGAAGGATTCTTGGGGCAGCCTTAATGGACTGAGAAAATGGCTGATCATCTCTGGCAAGTGGCGGCAGTCTTCAGCCCTGTCTCCCACAGAGAGAAAGAGCAAAATGCCAGTGTTCTGGTTGAATCTTACAGGAGTGTGTGAGGCATATCATAAATTGTCCTGGCTATTCCCGAGGGTTATTTTATTTTCCCCATTTCCGTGTGTTGGATGTGTCCCGTCTGTGTGTTCCCAGCCTCTGTGTCTCCTGATCTTTCATGTCTATGCCCAAGTTTTTCTTCCCTAGTTGTTAGAGCACTGGCTCCCCACTAGGAAGGTGGTGTTGCACCCTGGAGCAATGGTGCTTGGAAGTCTGTGGGGTTTTGATGGTCTCAGTGATGAAGAGCAGTTATTGGCTATCAAAAATCAGTGTATAGAGACCGGGGATGTTAATGTTCTACAATGAACAGGAGTGGCCATACCACAAAGTCTTATCCCACCCCAAATGATAATAGCGGCCCTGTTAAAATATAGGGAGGGAGAGATGAGGGTACTCAGGTGATTGGGCTCAAGGGGAGTGACTCATGCTAATCAGGCTCACAACAGACGATGAAAAATTGCAGAGGAGGCTAGATGTGGTGGTTCCCACCTGTAATCCCAGCACTTTGGGAGGCCAAGGTGAGTGAATCACCTGAGGTCAGGAGTTTCAGACCAGGCTGGGCAACATGGTGAAACCCCATTTCTACTGAAAATACAAAAATTAGCTGGGTGTGGTGGCGCATACCTGTAATCCCAGCTACTCAGAAGGCTGAGGCAGGAGACTGACTTGAACCTGGGAGGTGGAAGCTACAGTGAGCTGAGATCACACCATTGCACTCCAGCCTGGGCAACAAGAGTGAAACCCTGAGCCCCACATGATCCCCCACCAAAAAAAAAAAAAAAAAAAAAAAATTGCAGAGGAATAATTTACAAAGAAGCTGTTCCTTTTCAGTGGACAGAAGTCTTCTATCTGCTATCTGGAGTACTCCTTGAACAAAGACAATAAGGAAAGCGAATTAATAGTCCAAAGATGAGCATGGATTAGGGGCTGTTTCTTTCTGAGGTCTAAGGTGAGGCCCCCATGAGCTGACGACTTCCTTACAACCACTGCAAATGCAGAATACCTGTGCAAGTCTGTGTCTTTCTCCATTTGCCAGTGCTGGATGAACACCAGTAAACGCCTGCTCTTTAGGCTGCTGCCTCTTGAAGACTGAGCTAACAGGGTCCTTGCTCTGTGGTTGTGTTTTAGAGGCCCCACTTTGGCATTCCTCCTACCTGGGACTTGGAATTCTCTGCTGGAACAGCCCCAAGCCCACTCCCAAAGCCTCTTCCCCAGGTCTATCGCCAATGTACATATCCAAGGCCCAAAGATGGCTAAAGATCAGCTGCTCTGCAGGGAGTAGGAAGACAGAATATAAACATGTGTCCTGAGCTTTGGGGTAAAGCTGGATCATTACAGCCTTTTCCCCAGGGAACCCCAGGATCTTAATTATGGTCACATCCAGTCTTCCTGGGAAAACGCCCGTGTTACCTTGATTGAATTTGGAGGCCATTCACTCACCAGACCTTGAGTTTCTCTCCCGTGACTTCTCAGAAGGTTAATCACATACATTTTGTTGACTTTTACAAATGTCCATATCCCTTCTAAGGGTTCTCTGTGGCAGATGAGGGGGTGGGGTGGGGCTGAGTTCCTGGTAACTTCCCCTAGTTACTACTACAAACCCCTGTGGTGTCGGCCACGCTCTCTGTTACAGTTCTGTTTTTATTATGTCTGTTCTCATGTCTATTTGCCCCAGTGTTTTATTTCTTTTGTTTTCTTAAAACGTCTTCCTTTGGGGGATCAGGGCACACAACCATAAACATCCCATCAAGCTGTAAATTTGCAGGGATGGTATAACTTCCATATAAACATTAGAGGTGTCGATGTTTCAGGCTGCAGTTCTAGCAGTTTCTTTGATCTTTTACTGACCGGTAAATTATTTATTGGGTCTGTCATAAAGATATAGCAAAGCCTATAAACTATATTTATAGTATCACAAAAGTCTCCCCTCCTACCTGGCATCTTCAGATGTAGATCATGGTCCTGATGAGCATGCAGCAGCCAGGGTATTTTTATGCCCTCTCTTCTTTCCTTTCCTTTCAGCTCTTTGCCTTCTGTCCATGATTCTGCTTCATTTTTTTTTCTATCCCTCTGTTTCTTTGAGGTCCGCGGTAAGGTTTTTGTGAGAGTTGTTGTTAATACCTCAACACTCCTCCCTGGCCTCTGGGTGGCCACATCTCACCCCGGCCTGCACCCCAGGCAGTTCTCAGCTCTAGAAAACTGACATTCCCCAGGCCCCAGCCCGTGGCTCCAGGCCCAGCGGCAGATCCATTCCCCTGCAATCCATCTGCCTCGAAGGCCTAGAACACCTGTCAACCCCTGGGAAAATGAACTGTGCCTAATCAATGGCCAGTTCCTACTGACACTCTGGGTTGTCAGGAAGGGAGTTTACTGCAGAGTGTGTGTGGGCATGTGTGCCTGATTGCGTGTGCTCGGCAGCAGATGAGTGCCAGCCGTTAAACACCTTCTTTCATTTTATTTTTCCTTTAGCTTTTAACTAGTATCTTCTTCAATTAAAGTGGCAAGGCAGAACAGACAAGGAAATCAGTGGATCTCTTCCCAAACATCAATAAAACAAATTTCTCTCCGGGATACCTATTTGTTATTTGGATATCAGACTGACTGTAATCTGTTTCTATTTTCCTTCTACGTGTTACCCGCCAGAAGCTAGAGGCTCAGCCGTGGAGATCCTGCTGTTTCCATTTGGCTGAATGAGGGGATAGATTAGATTCCTATTTGCTATGCGGATGCTTCCATCTGATATCCATCAGATGTGTCAGGAGAGCCCTGAAAATGTGTCCCCCCTGTTTATTTTGGGTGTACTGGGGTGGGATAGTGGTTGCTGGGGAGTCTCGGAAGATGCCACCAGTTGCCTTGAAGATACCAACATGGCCCTTCTTTCTTTCTCCCTCTGCTTGGTAATCAATCATGACCCAAGTCATTTATATTCCAGGAGATAAGGATGTCAGGAACTGCTCCCTCTGCTACAGGAGGAAAAGAGGCTAAGCCCTGGTCAAAGGTGGGCAGAGTGCCTTTGAGGCAGCACCCTAGAATGGAAGGTTCGCCATTGTACAGCTGAGGAAACTGAGGTCCCGAGAAATAAGGTAGATTGTTTCCATTCCTTCTTCTCTCTTCTTTCCTGCTGTGAATTCTCTTGAGGATTCTTCCAGTCTGGCCACTTCCTGCCCACCTACTCCCCACAAAGTCAGGCTATGTCATTTCCATACGGATTTGCAGCTAATCAGGAAGGCTGGGGCCATGTCTACTGTTTTGCTGTGTACTACAAGTTGCCTAGCATGGTGCTGGGCATAAGTGGAGCTCACAATATGTCCCTGGGTTTCTGAACTCTCAGAGTCACCGCTTGTTTTAAAGCTTTTGTTTATTAAGTCCTTACCACATACAAATTTATTTAAACGTTGCCCAAGTCTTGTGGACCTCCTTCCTGTTCACGTAGCGGGACCATTCCTTCTGCCTTGGCCAGCAGGCCTGCCTCTCCTCTTCCTTCCCATTTGTCCCTTCTCCAGCCCATCTCCATCAGTGATGTGTAGCGGGGACAGCCTTCACCATTTGCATGGTCCTTCCCCCCCCCCCAGCACCCCACCAGCTGCTGTGTTTCATGTGTCCCCCACTCCAGGGTGACGACTCCTTTTTAAAGAGGCTGTTGTTTCCGGTGACACTGACAATCCTTCAGAATTGACAAGACCTCTCTCTGCATCTCACTGCCTGCCACCGGGCTCTCAACCTGAGGCCTAAGTGACTTGTCATCTTCTCTTGTCAGTTGCTGGCTGGTGCTCCTGCTCCTCCCTCCCCACCGGAGCCATAATCCTCTCCCTTTGATAACGCAATTGTCTCCATGGCACTGAGCCGCCCTCACGGCGCTGCAGAGGCTCTCGGCCCATGGAGGAAGGTGGAAAATAACAGTAAAAAAGACCTTCTTAAGAAAAGAATAACATCTATCTCCAGGTCTGCACCCACTCCCCTGCCTCTTCCCCTTCCTCAGGAAAAAACTGCTAGAAGAGAAGATACACAGAAACCAGGGGAGGGGCAGGAGGCCCTCAGACAGTTTGCCACTGCTATTCCTGCAGAGTGAGATTACTTAATTTCCTATATAAGCAGCACGCCGGAGACAGCTGGCTCCTGCCCTGGTTCCTCAGCAGGACAGGCCCAGCTTCCAGAAGCTGGTGAGGAGCTGCTGGGCTTTGGGCTGGCCTCATCATTACTCCTCCTTAGGAGGCCATGGGACTTGGCTTTAGGAGGCAGGGAGCCGGGCAGGAATGGGAAGACAGTGCAGGGTTTGGAATTCCCCGCGATCTCTCTGCAGTGCTTACGGCTAGGCCTGGAATACCGTTCAGCTCACTCGAGTGAGTCCCCAGAGTTTTGTATGTTTTGAGGGTTCTATTTAATCCCCCAAGCCTCTGTGCTGGGCTGCTTCTGAGGGTCTCTCCCTCTCTCTAGCTGTGTATCCTAAATGCCAAGAGTGCTGGGCCAGCTCTCAGGGTCTCAGGGCTGACTCCTCCTCCTGCGCAGGGAGCAAAGTATGCCGGAAATCCACCTGCATCTGTGTGGTCACTCACTGATGGGAGAGGGCTCTGTAAGTTTTGTGACGTTAGGTTTCCTCACCTGGAAAACACACTAATAGTCTTACTTAATCTATATGATGATCACATTTGTTCCAGGACCACTCTACCCTCACCACGGATATTAAAATTCATGGATGCCAAAGTCCTATAACGGGTCATGCAGAACCCACAGATAAGAGAAGTTGGCCCTTGGTATCCACGGGTTTTGCATCCTCAGAATACTGTATTTTCAATCCACATTTGGTTGGATCTGACGATGAAACTCACAGAGAACTGACTGCATGAGGAAACTAGGAAGCTCTTTGTGCAACTGTGTTTATGATACTGTTGCTAATGAATTCTTTGCCTCCTTGGGTCTTAGTTTCCTCATCTGTAAGGTAGAGAGGGTGACCCTGCTGACCTCCACGTTATTACAGCATCACTCGAGGAGGTGGACATGAAAACCCTTTTGGAGTGTGAAGCATATGAGAGATGGTGATCTGTAGCCTTCTTTTATACCCATGCGCCTATCCCTTAGAGGAGACCGAAGAAGATAGAATTTGTTTTAAATGCTCAGGAATGGTTTCCAGGGTGCCCAAATCCTTATTGTCCCTTGCTAATCCCCAGCCCCTACTTGCTTTGGCCTCACATATTCCCCAAACTCTGTTGTTGCATCCCTGCTTAACTCTCTGTCCCCAGAACAAAGGGTGGAAGTCATGCATTGCTAACAACTAGGCTCTTGGAGACCAGGCTCCCTTGGTCCTCTTGCCATTCCCCTATTCACAGCTCTGGTGAACCTGAATTTTGACTTGTTAGAAAGTACCATGCTTTCTCTGGCCTCTGGGCTTTTGCACATGCTGGTTCTCCTGTCTGCTAACTCCTACTCATCCTTCAAATCCCAGTTTAATGGCCACCTCCTCCAGGAATCCTTTTGTGTTAGGTTGTGTGTCCCTGATCCAAGCCCTAGCAGTTCATTTATTTCCCTCTACTGTAACGACTCCTTGCTTATTTATGTCTCCCACTTGACTGTGAACTCCACGAGGGTAGGGCCATGCCTTTTTGTTCTTTGGTGTATTTCTGGCACCAAGCACAGTGCCTGACATGTAGTGGGTGCTCAAAAAGCATTTGCTGCAGGAAGAAATAGTAGGTGGGTTTAGGACAAATAAAAATGAATTGGACTCTGCCTTAATCATGTTGCTTAGAGCTATTCCGTTCATTGAGTATTCACTGAGTGGAGCCAGACTGTCCACTAAGCCCAGCACCTCCTGGGTTGCAGACCTGCCTGCAGAGGAGTAGACATTGTGTGGCAGACATCATACCAAGCAGAGCAGGTAAGAGTGGGATGAAGCAGTTCTGGGTGCCTCAGCTCTGCTCCTGAGCCCTGACCTTAGACTCCTGCCACCCCCCAGCCATACTTCCTAAGCCCAGGTTCTTTCACAGCCAGGCTGACCTTGTTCATTCCCAGCAGAGGTGTCTCTGCCCATAGCCCAGGACTTTGCCTGGTTTTGTCTTATCTGTGGATTTCTTGAGCTGAGCAGCATTGGTGTGGGAGGAGACAGACGGAACCACACCCAGCTAATCCTGCAAGGATCTCCAGCCTGGCTCTGGGAAGTCCTATTGGAATATTAATATTCTGAGGAAGAAGCCAGTGATTACATTTTAGACTTGCAAATGGGTTTGGAAAATAGGCTTTGCTGAGAGGTGGGACAGACAGCTGGACCAGCAAGCAATAACAGTGAGCAGCAGCGTGTGGTGATTAAGGAAGAGATTTGCTCCCCAGAAAGGGTACTCTCCAGGGGCTGCTTCCTGGTGGGAGATCTTTTCAGTGAATTCATATAGGCAGTTCTTGCCTTCCTTCAGAGGTAGAAGTCCCTGGGTGTTGCTTTTTACTGTCTCTCTCTCTGTCTCTCTCTCTCTCTGTCTCTCTCTCTCTGAAAACCAGAGAAAAAGAATATACCCAAAGACAGGAAAGCACATACTCATACATGAGTGTCTGTTGAAGAATTCATTCACTCATTCATTCATCCATCCATCCATCCATCCATCCATCCATCCATTTCTTCCCTTAATAATATATATCCTTCACCCTTTCTGTTGGGTTCCGGGGACACCACAGTGAGGAAGACATTCATTTGTCTGTCCACTCTTTCCTCCACACCAGTATGTAGTCTGGCTCCAGAATATAAGTCAAAACATGCGCAGCTGCTCAGTTTGCCTTTATCAGACCCAGGTCACTTTCTATCCCAAAGCCCGGCTAGCACAGTGGTTATGTCACATGGACACAGGTGGGATGGCCTGGCACTCTGACCATCTTTGTGTTTCCAGCACCATATCACTAACGGGAAGAACCCAAGGAGACCTGGGGGCCCAGGTCCAGGTATCACAGCTCTCTTCCCAGCTCATGTGGTGCCTGGTGCAAATGAGAAACCAGGACTCCTTCCTGGAGACACATCACTGCCACCTGCTGGAAAATGCTCACAGCAAAGATTCGACTCTGCATGGCCACAGTGCCAATAGGGCCAGCTAGATTTGCCCAGTGCTCTACTGCCTATCCGTGTGGCCTTGGTCCACTGCTCAGAGTGATCAACTCTGCAGTCCCACAGGCCAGTGGCTGCTGCCAAGTATCTCGAGAGAAAGGAACAGTGTTATGCCCAGCCCCAAATACCTGACAAGCCAAAATCCATCTTTGTTTGCTATTTAGCAGGTATTTCTAAAGTTCTATTAGATGAAAGACAACTGAAGGTAGAAATTTATATGCTTCCAAACTACATGTGAAAATCTGACAAATGCAAAGGTGGAAAGTTCTCTAAAAAGATCTCATTTTTCATTTTTTTTTTTAAATTTTGAGACAGAGTCTCATTCTGTCACTCAGGCTGGAGCACAATGGCGCAAGTTCAACTCACTGCAACCTCCACCTCCCGGGTTCAAGCAATTCTCCTGCCTCAGCCTCTTGAGACAGGAGAGCACACATACTCATATGGGATCACAGGTACGTGCCACCATGCCCAGCTAATTTTTGTATTTTTAGTAGAG